TTCCTAATAATGTATATATATATATATTATATACTAGCTAGTATATATGTATATTATAAAGATTTTAAAAATGAATTTTTTTGATACAGAAAATTTACATGTATAAAGATTAATTGCTATTTGAAACTTAAATACAAAAAAAAAAGTTACTTTATCGTTAGTCTTGTTGAATACTTCTACAGATAACAACTTTAGAGGTCCACAGTAAACACCACTTTCAGAAGTAATAAATCTTTCAAGGGCTCTGTATGTTTTTCCACTGTTGGTAGGTCCTGCATGAAATATCAATCTCCTCTTGTTTTCTCGCTCACGGGCATTAGGATACCTGATATTAAAATAAAAGCAAGACATTTACAGTAACATAGTAGAGCTTTTATAAAAATCTTATTAATAAAAAACTTCTTTCATAGTTATTAATGAAAAAATTCAAAAAAACTGCTTCTGAATTCCTAAGTTTTGATACACAATTCACCCCTGTTAAGGAGAGTCTTTCTATTTGAAGAAGTTTAATGAATAGTTAAAATTTTTGTTTAAATTAAATGCATTTTTAATAATCACAACCAAGGACATCAAGGTAAAAAAAAAAAGCTTTGCTTCCGTTCTTAATACAAAAAAAAATTTTTTAAATTATTTTTCATGCAAATCAATTTTTTTTTAAAAAAAAAACATTACTTTTATCATGCACCATATATACTTTTTAATGCACTATGAATACTTTTTAAGTTTATAAATCTTCATTAGATATTTGTTCATTTACAATTATAAATATATTCAATTATGTAATTAATAACTGGCTCATTTTTACCAAAATGTAAAAGTTGGATTCACAGTTTTTATGCATATTTAGATAATAATTTCATCAATTTACATACAAATTGCACATGATATATATTGAAATTTTTTATTTTATTACATTTATAGCATTAGAAACCTTTATATACTGTAAATTATGACATTTTCTATAATACAGATAGTAAAATAACTGTGTACAGTTTTATTATGATTAGTAGTTAGTAGTTATAAATATGCAATATAAGCTAGTATAAAAAGTATTTTTAAAATTATTTAAAGATATATTTTTGATTATCATTGATGAAAATCTTATTAAAAGTTTGACAAATTATAATTTTAATCATAATTAATTTTATTTTAGTAGTTTAAATAAACAATCTTTTTATAAAAAAAATCAAATGATATAAATTGTGAAAAAAAAAGTTGACAATAAAAAAAAAAAATTCATACCATTCAGGAGGGGCACTCAAATCACAAATTTTTTTCAATTCTTCGATGCATTCTAAATGAGGAAATATTTCTCGTGTATGCTTTAAAAAATAAGGCAGTATATCAGTTATATGACCTGAAAAGCAAAAATTAAACCTCTTGAGTCTTTATTTATTTAAATACCTTTAAAAAAAAACAGTGAAATAGAACTATTCGACCACAACGATTCAAAACAGCTGTAATGAAATAGTTTGTTTTCTGGTAAAATATGTAGACAAAATAATTTAAAATCATATGATTAGAATAATACTCTTATATGTACATGAAAATATACCATAAAATACAATAAGTTTAGCTCCAATGTGTTCATTATCGATTCTAGTATATAAGAAAAGAAATTTAAATATTCCATTAAAAAGTTTAAATTATAAAAAACAATGCAAATCATTATTAAAAAAACTCTCTAGCACTAACATCTTTCAACGAGATACTTTTTATCAACAACAAAAATATATGTAACTAATTTAAAATAACAAAAGCACTGTTTTTACAGAAACTTTATAATTTTTTTTAATTGAACTTAATAATTTTTTATTTCAATATAATGGGTGATATTCTTGTATTTTGCTGGGGGGGGGGGGAGGNGTAATGCACAAATTATTTCTTTCTTTGCATTTTTAAAATAATAATCACAATAAAAAAAATAATTAAAATTCAAGAAATCTATAGTAATAATTGCCGAAAAGATCGAGGACGAAATCACGCAAATCACTCTTCTAAAAGGGTTACTCAAAAGCATGTTTCGTTTTGAGATTAGGATATTGTAATAAATAATATTGTATAAAAAAATCTTGGATTCAAAAACTATCAATAAAAATAAAACTATAAAGAAATCAATAGCAATAACAGCCAAAAATTCAATAGAATCATTGACTTAAAAAGTAAATACTCAAATACAAGATTCGAATTTTCCATATCGTTTGAAATATATCGAGATATTTAAAAACCATGAGAAAATCAATATCAATAACTGCTGAAAATACAATCAAAACATTACATTGATTTACGATACCATCAACGTAAATTGAGCATGTCAAAGAGTGATTATCTAAAAGCATGATTCAAACATTAATGTAAATTTCTATAGAAAAGAAAAATAAATTTTTTTATTTTTTAAAAGAACACTCTTTCTGTAAGAGCTCTGTAATGTTTTGTGATAATGTCACCGTAATTCTGAGATGGGGACAACAATTAACTTTGAATGAATGAAGAGTTTTGATTAGCATAGTTTGTTTGCTCCCAATTATTTGAAATTATAGAGGTTCTTTTCATTTTTAGTTATTATTATAATTTTTTTTAATCATAACATTTTCACAAAAGCTGTTGGTTTGCTTGATTTTTTTTTTTTGAAAAAAATTAAATTTTCTTTATTTAAATCACTTTTTTTTTTGTATTTGAGTCATAATTTTATTAAAGTTCAGATTTTTTTTTTTAATTAAAACTCATTGATATACTGTACAACAATATATGAGTAATTAATCTACATTTCATATTAAAAAAAGATAAAAATTTAAATATTTCAAAAAGTTATACAAATACATTTCTTTCTTTCTTTTAATAATAACAAATAATCTTTTTCAAATTAAAAAATGGAAATCATGAAAATATCTTAAATTAGGTATTCATACCTGCTTCTTGAAGAATATCACTAAATACAATATGCAGATCAACTGGAAGCTGTGGGGATTCTGTACAAAATTTTCTAAAGCTGATGGCTGCTTTATGGTATAATTTTGCTAGAAATATTTAAATTTAAAGTTTAAAATAATTAAATAATAAACAATATTAAAAGATCTAAATTATATATAATTTTCTATTTAAGACAAAAAGAAATTAAGTACTTACAGTCAATTCCATTTTCTGCAGCAATGATGGTTATTTCGGGTTGTTTAAAGAACTTGTTAATAAGTTTCAATATGTCAACTAAAATAGAAAGGGAAGAAAATAACCTACATGAATGTAAGAAAAAATATAGAAATTTTAAAGCAATCATGAATTTAAACTGGATGTAACTAAATTTATACATAATTAGAATTCATATTTGAATAAGAATTCATATTCAGAAACACTAGAAAATGAAGGCAAAATTATTCATAACTGGTTAAAAAATGACTCATATTTGATTTGCAAAATAACTTATATATATGGTTATAATTATTGCTAACACAAAAAAACATATTTCTTAATAAGTAAGCATTAGATTATAAGATTAGATTTTCACTTCCTAATAATGTATTCAATATACTAAAATGCATATCCACAGTCATTAATAATAGTTGAATAAAATAATAAGCTTTTTTTAATTATAAAACTTATTTAATAAGAAAATTTATGTCTTAGAATTTCATATTTCTGAATGTGCATAAATAAAACTTTTATGCTTTAGTATGATTTAAATTTTTGTATTTATGTGTTACAAACTTATTGATTCTTACTAAAATGAGCAAATACACACACACACATATATATAAATATATATTGTATATACAGTCAAACCTCGCTATAGTGAACACGGTTTATAGTGAACTCCCGGATATAGTGAACGAAATGTTCGGTCCCGTGCCTTGCTATACACGGATAATGTTATTTTTTGTGGATATAGTAAACAAAAAAAGTGAGGAAGTTGGATATAGTGAATTTTTTTCTGTCTTCAACTGATTTTTTAAAAAAAATTTTTGTAATAATTTTGAAATCTCTACTTCAAATTAAATACATATACCGATTTTTAAAACCATCTATAGAGGGGAATGTAGCGATAAGCATTTTTTCTTGATTGCTTTTTTTATCTCACCTTCCCATCCCTAAATAAACTAAGCAGATGTTTCCAACCCAGGCAGACGATGCACCTGTAAGGTGTCAGCTGGATCAATATGCATTTTTTTCAGAGGGAATGACTAATTATTAATTATTGGTCAAAGAGTTGGACACTAATATGTGTTGATATGGCCCGCATTTCAACTCCTTTTTTCTCTCAGTTCAGTTAAAATAAATCCTGCAAACAAGTGTCTCAAATTTAACTATGGCTAGCAGTAAACGTAAAACGTTCTCCATTGATGATAAAATGGGCATAATCAGAAAAATTGAAAATGGATGCAATCAAGCTGATATTTGCAGGGAATATAAACTATCCAAATCTGCAGTTTGTAACATATGGAAAAATAGACAATTAATAATTTCTGCTCATGAAAAAAATTTAGATGGTGGAAAAAAGTTGAGAAAAGCAGATCACAAGGATAATGAAGAAACATTGCTGAAGTGGTTCACCAATCGAAGAAGCCGCAATCTTCCAGTATCTGGCAAATGTCGATGAATTTGCTAAGTGATGTTATGAAACTACTTTTATGTGTTCGAATGGCAGGTGAGACAGGTTTAAAAAGCGGAATAACAGAAATTCAGGAAAAATTTTCTGAGAGTCGGGAAGTGTTTCCATATCTAATGGGGAGGATTGCTCATCAGCTAAGGATTACTAATTTTTTTGTACGCAAGACGAAGAGTAATGAAAAATAACACATTATTTGCTACTACATAATATTTTTCAGTCATTTATTTGAATAATGTGTAATAAAAGGGAGAAGTTAAGGAATCATTAGTTAAATTGACTGAGTAACGGATATAGTGAACTCCTGGTTATAGTGAACTGAAACTTCGGTCCCTTGTTGGTTCACTATAGCTGGGTTTGACTGTATA